TATATATACTTGCAGATATACACACATAGATATATACAAACTTACATACATATATACATACATACATACATATTGAGAGTGTTCAACAAGAACGGATAGGAGGTTCTTCATAGCAGCTCCCAGAAGTCTTTGAAATCAGCATATCCGGGACGCTGGAGGACTATCCAGAGGCCCCGCCCCTTGCGGGGTGGAGCTTCGGGCGGTCCCTCCCAGCTGCGGCTTACTCTGTCTTTTCTGCGTCCCAGGGCGGAGCGTGCGCGGTGTGTCTCCGGTACCTATCCTTTCACTACGCAAGTTTGAACCATGGCAGAGGTTGGACGAATGGTTCAGGCTAGGGCGCTACTGCAGCAGTGCCTTCATGCCCAGCTGCAAGTACACCCAGCCGAGGGGGACGCCGCGGCACAGTGGGTGGAGGTAACTTCGGCCCTGTTGTCTTCTGGTGCTGTATGGCAGTTCTTTCCGCGTTGTTTCGGTGACTCCTTCCTGCAAGCCTCCCTCCTATCTCTGAACAAGGGCCGCGGCGGACGAGAGGCCGCCGTCTAGCCTGTCCGAATTTTGCCCGTAATAACCAGTCTGGCTGCTCTCCTCTTTTGGGTCCTATACCATCATTCCCATCCCTTTGTTAGCTAGATTCCCTGCTAGGAGGAGCTCAGGCATCTGAACCTTCTTTCACCATCTTAATACGTGACTTTGGTGAACTTTAGGCCTGATTGTCTCATCCCTCTTGTTTCAAGGCAAAGCCTTTGCCATGGTTGGAGCTGCGTTTTCTGGATTAAGAGCGTGTAGATTAGATTTGTTGACAGTTAAATCTGCCTTTCAATTGTACCCCAGATGTCATTAGCTGCAGCTAAATCTCAGCATTGAAATGAGCTTTCCTAAGAATAATTAAATTTGACTGATTTTCAATTAAAAGCAAACACCGCTATTTTTACAATGTTACATTGTTATCCAACATAACTTCCTTCAATTCTTAACATACTTGCCTTTTTTGAGAAGTTTTCTTCCCACTCCATGTGAAAAAAAGGAAAATGTTCTTTTAAGGCCCTTGACTACTTTAGAAGAAGTTGAAATACGGGGGTGGGAGGGGAACCAGATCATAATTAAGACCTTTGGAATACTCAAAAACTTAAATAATATAAAACTAAGCAGATTTTTTAAATGTTAACACTCAGAAACCTAAACTTTCAGAATTTAAAAATATTTCTTTAGAAGAAATATTTTTAATATAGTCAAAACTATTGTGAAATCTTAATTTGCTCTTCTATCTGAGGAAGCTAAATACTTCTCTTTAGAATTGTCTCATTTGGATTCTATTACTTTCCTGGGTTAAGTTTCCTCATATGTTGAGCCTTACACAGGTGCAGACACCATTCTGGAGTCTTGTTGTGAACCATTGAGTTGGAACCAACCTATAGCTGACGCTCCAGCAGGTTTTCAGAGGCAATAATCACGCGGGAAGGGAGAAGGGTGCAACAATGAATGAATGGAATCCCAAAATCTCTGTAGATGTTCATTGAAATGAAAAATAAACAACCTAAATTTAAAAAAAAA